TTTAGATTTGGTTGTGCGAGGACGCAAAGTATTCCCACCTACGCCTCCATCTTGGCGGAAGTCGTTTTTTAAAAAATATATTTTATTGATTATGCCATTACATTGTCCCATTTCCCCCTCTTCATTCCATTCCACCCTGTACACCCCCTCCCCCCTACATTCCGCCTCTTTTGTTCCTGTCCATGTGTCATAAGTTTCTTTAGCTTCTACATTTCTCACACTACTCTTGCCCTCCCCCTGTCTATTTTCTATCTACCGTCTATGCTTATTCTCTGTACCTTCTCCTCCTCCCACTCCCCTGTTGCTAACCCTCCATGTGATCTTCATTTCTATGTTTCCACTCCTGATCTAGCTGTCTGCTTAATTTGCTTTTGTTTTAGGTGTGATTGTTAATAACTGTGAGTTTGCTGTTCTTTCGCTGTTCATATTTTTTATCTTCTTTTTCTTAGATAAGTCCCTTTAACATTTCATATAATAAGGGCTTGGTGATTATGAACTCCTTGAACTTGACCTTATCCGAGAAGCACTTTATCTGTCCTTCCAATCTAAATGAAAGCTTTGCTGGATAGATCAATCTTGGATGTAGGTCTTTAGATTTCATGACTTGGAATACCTCTTTCCAGCCCCTTCTTGCCTGTAAGGTCTCTTTTGAGAAACCAGCTGACAGTCTGATGGGAACTTATTGTCGGTGACTGTCCCCTTATCTCTTGCTGCTTCTAGGATTCTCTCCTTCATTTTAATCTTGGCCAATGTAATGATGATGTGCCTTGGTGTGTTCCTTCTTGGGTCCAACTTCTTTGGGACTCTCTGAGCTTCCTGGATTTCCTGGAAGTCTATTTCCTTTGCCAGATTGGGGAAGTTCTTCTTTAGTATTTGTGCAAATAAGTTTTTCACTTGTTGCTCTTCCTCTTCCCCTTCTGGTACCCCTATAATTCGGACGTTGGAGCGTTTAAAGATGTCCTGGAGGTTCCTAAGCCTCTCCTCATTTTTTTTGAATTTTTGTTTCTTAATTCTTTTCCAATTGGGTGTTTCTTTCTTCCTTCTGGTCCACTGCATTGATTTGAGTCCCTTTTGTTCTATCACTGTTGGTTCCCTGTGCATTTTGCTTCATTTCATTTAGTGTAGCCCTCATTTTTTCATCTAATATGTGACCAAACTCAACCAGTTCTGTGAGTTTCCTGATCACCAGTGTTTTGAACTGTGCATCTGATAGGCTGGCTATCTCTTGGTTGCTTAAAAGTATTGGCTCTGGGGTTTTGATTTGTTCTTCCGTTTGAACCATAATTTTTTTGTCAGATTGCACCTCTTACATATGAAGGGCGACCCAGTTGTAGAGTTGTGACACTGTATGTGGAGGCGGGGTCAGAGAGGGGCAATGGCATTTTTTTCTGCTCTCTCATGGATTTCGTTCCCCTCTGTTGCTTCTCACAAGCAAATGTGTGGCCCTTCTGGTGCTGGTTCCGGGTGGGTGGGCTTGTGTATGTTCTAGGACCCTGTGGGTCTCTCCAGTGAATTCTCCTGTGAGGCTGGGAGTCTTCCACGACCTCAACCCCCGCAAGTTTTTTCAATTGGTGCTTCTTGGCTTTATTTCTTGTTGCTGGGGCCCTGGGTTGCACAGTCTGTGTCACTGCCCATTTTTTGCCTGGTTTATCTGAGTGTGAATGTGTGTCCGCAGTCAGCCAACCGCCTTGCGCGCCTCACTGGGTCTGCTTTCTTCCTTCTCATGCCTGAGTCTGCCAACCACCAATTTTTCTTGCCACGACCCATCCACAGCTGCCAACTCTGCCCCTCTTACCGGTCTGGATGAATGGTTCATTGTTGTTGGACTTACGTACAGTTCAATTTTCTGTCTGTTCTGGTTGTGTTTTTGTTTCTAAATTTTTGTTGTGCTTAAATTTGGTTATGTGAGGAGACACAGTATTTCTATCTATGCCCCCATCTTGGCCAGAAGTCCCAGATACTTTAATAAAGTCCTCGACAGCACATTTTCCCGGTCTAGAATCTGTCGTAGATCTTGTATTTCATTGTCCTGGCTCCTTATTCTCTTTCAATCTGAAACAGTTCTCCAGCTCTTATCTTATGTGACGCGAAGATTTACTAGAGTAAAGGCCAGTGAGTGAGTTTGTAGATGTGATGTTTGTGTTCTTTGGGCACCACATCAGGACACCAGTGTGCATCCCCTTAGCATCATCGTACATATCTATTGTACAATGGGCTATGGCCTTAATAGGTCATTATTTGGGCTACTGGGAGTTAATCACACTGGCTCCTGAGCTCTTCTGACACATGCCCATTACTTTTTAAGCACTTTTTTTGGTATATTACGATGCTCCAGGTTCACCTGGTACTTTTCCTGCCCAAGTCAGCCCTTTCCCAAAGGCATTCTGTTTCCCTTTAGGGGAGATGATATTTAGAGACCAGGATCTTGATGGCAAATAATCAATTTATGTTTCCAATTTTCTGTATTGTTTCTAGAGATTTTATATTCCAAAAACCAGTTTTTTGAGTTTTGGATCTTGCTCATGTTACTTAGTGAATCTCTGTTCACCTCAGTTCATGTTCCTTGGATTCCTTTTTTTTTTTTTTTAAATCAGGAAGTGAGAGGATAATAGCTGTTTGTTTGAGCAAATACTATAAGTAATCCTTCCCTCTCTCCTTACCTGCTCAAGAGGATCTAGGCTTTCCCTCACTCCCATTTATTTACTTCCTTCATGCACCCCACCCCCTGAAAGTTTTGTCCTTGTCAAACCAGGTTTGGGATAGCTTCTGGTTGGAGGAGGGTTGGGGGGGTGATGCTCAGAAATTTTTGATGTTTTCAAGATAAACATGGGATACCAGAGCAGCTTCAGGGGAGAAGAGGAGAGCTTTAAGAAACATTGTTTATGAACGGTGTACCTCCTTCGTGGTGTTTCTGAAATAAAAGTAAAGATCGGGAGTTATTTTGACATTATATTGTACTTTATAGAGATTTCTCTGGATTGACTCCCTTGGCTCTTGATTTCAGTAAGGTTACAAGCATCGTCAGTGTGTGGGAGCTTCCTGCCTTCAGAGGGTCAGTTAACTGCTCCAACTTGGGGCTCTGGGTTGAACTGCAAGGCTCTATCAGGAGCCGGAGGATGCTGCTGCCAGCTGCTTAGCGCAGGTCAGGGATGCTGGGACTAACAGCTTGCTGCCTTGACTGCCCCTTCGCTGACTGCTCCCCCCCGCCAAGTGTTTGACAGACTGAGTTTAAGTTTGGGACCCTCCTGAAAATCACTCCAATGCTCTAAAATGTGTGAGGCTATGTTTTTCTATTGCTGCCTTATTTTTCTGCTTCCTACTTTTTATGAATTACTAAAACTTACTGATCTGCTTATGGTACCCATTCTTGTTTTACAATGATTATTTTGAATTTTTTTCATACAACTTGGGGATATATGATACCACTGTGCACTCAATAGTCATCCTGTTCAGGATGCTACAAGTGAAGGGTGTTTTAACATTGACCTGGGGGTAACAGGGCATCTACTTGAAGGCAGTGAAAAAGTCTCTACCCAGAGGTATTAGAGGCTTTAGTGCAGATAAGAAATCTATCAAGTAAACTTCAGAATTCGTGCTGATCTGGAGTTGTAATTATAGAAGTATTAAAACAATATTTGCACTTAAACTTGATATTAAGGTTTGGTGAAATTTGCATGGGAAGCACCCTGTCTAAAAAAACCATTGTTTCTCTAGTTATCCCAGGAACTTTGCTGGAGTGACTCATCTATGCTTCTGGCAGAGCTCACCAGTTAGAACTATGTATAATCTTCCTCTGCAACAGCACTGGACTTATGAGGGTTGTAGTATAGGTGCCCTTGGCAGAGATCAACTCACTCCACTCTGCTTATTAAGTGCAGTACATGGCAAGTGAAAATCTTAAATGATAAGACTGCATTACCCTAATGTTTCCACTTAGTCATCAGTAGAACCTGACCAATAAAAGCCACATGAGCAGAAAGAAGACACATGCGTGGTCTTTGTAGCAGCGAGGGTAACGTGGTACTGCCCTTCCAATCTTTGGTCAGAAGAGGCCCACATGCATCATGCCTTGGGGGCAGGATTGGTCTTGGCAACTAAGAGCAGGGTAGGAGACCCCGGCCAGAGGGAAGGGCAGGTAAGGGAGAGTGGAGCAAGAGCTGTTAGACTACCTACCTCATACTACAGAAAAAGGTGATTTAGCCCAAAGTCAAACCATCAGTGGCAGAGTGGCCTAGCATACTGTTCCTTTTACCGCTGATGTTGCCACTTGAGCACACCAACCTTAGTGGTACATAAATTCTGAGGGACAGTCTGAATTAATGATCCCTAGAAAATGTGAGAAGGGCTGGAACCTAGTTAACCTTGACAACCAGTTCCTGTCCTTTTTCATTATCCAGCCCAATCTGATTTTCTTTTCTTTTTTTTTATATTTTATTTATTTATCTTTAGAGGGGAAGGGAAGGAGAGAGGGAGAGAAACATCAATGTATGGTTGCCTTTCGTGCATCCCCTGCTGGGAACTGGCCTGCAGGGAACTGGTCTGCAACCCAGGCATGTGCCCTGACTGGGAATCAAACCACGATTGTCTGGTTCACAGGCCTGCGCTCAATCCACTGAGCTACACCAGCCAGGGCTGATTTTCTTATGAAAGAGAATATCATAAGGTGTTCAGTATTTGTTGAATAAATATTGAACACCTGCTACAAAAATAAAACCTTTATTGACAGCTAGATGACTGCCCTCTCAAGCCTGTTTGCTCAAGGACCTGTAATTTTCTGAAAATCATATATTGGTATTGCAGGAAAATTGCAACCCTGAGCTGTGCTAATTCACTTACAATGTCAGTACCTACTGTGGAGGCCTCTGTGTTGTACACAGTATTAACTGAAATTTTGAAGTAAAATATGGCCTAGGAGAATGAAAGTCACATTTATCACAAATATTTTAATTCTGCCCCACATTTCTACCTACTCTACAAAATCTTTTGCTCTATAAGTAAACCAGGCAGAGATTTGAAGGACATTGTTTTATTCCAGAGATGATGAAATTAAAGATTTTTACAGTCTTCTTTCACTTCCTCCTTCAGCTCTCTCCCCGGTAGAGACGCTAATAAGAATTAGGGTGGTCAAGACATTGGATGAGGTAAAAAGGTGAAAGTTATATACGTTTTAGTTGTGTCTGGCATGTCTAGGCCTTTATCCTGTATGAGGCAAGGAGAGAAAGAAGTTAAAGTTACAGATAAATTCAAGGAAGGACTGAGACTAAGGAGAAGATGCTAATTGTGCTTCCCTTGGTTAACTCAGCCAGGCCTTTGTGTTCATTTCTGACTGATAGAGACCAGTTTGGTTTTTCTCCTGCTGCCCTGTAGTGGTTGGAGAGTGGTTTCCAGTATTGTCCAAAATGTCACCTCTATTCTAAACAAATTCCTTCTGGGAAAGAATGATTTTCTAGCATAAGATTAGGGAAATAAGGAAGTGGGAGAAAGGTTTAGTGTTGTACAGAAGTTTTCAACCACAGGAGGAGCAAAATACCAAAGAGACTGGAGAATACAGAGAGAGAGGTAAGAGCTCAAGTCCAAGCTCTGCTGCCTCAGAAGGCACCCGAACCAAGCTTCACACTCCCTGGCCCAGAGAGGAGAACCCAGCCCTCCTCACTGCTAAGAAATACCCAAACCAGTGCATCTAGAGGGAGGCTCATTGTCTTCACAGGTTTCCAGGGAATATCTAAACCAACTTGGATAGTTTTCTGACCAACCCTGGTCAGAGCCCCAGGCCACAGAGAGCTGGGCAAGTCCGTAATGTCTGCTCATCTGTGTCCCGTGTTCAGGTCTTGAATACCAGGAAACCCCCAAATGCAGTGCCTGACGGGCTTCTCTTCATTACCGATCCCTGGGTTAACTCAAACCACACTCTGTCATCCTTTTGCAGCTCGGCCATAGCAAAGGTAGTTGCTGTGCTTCCACCGCTGTGCTCCTCAGCGGTACTGACAGGGGTCTGATGGTGACCTCCAAACACCAGTTTCCCAGTGCCTGGCCCTGGGCCAAATTCAATGCTCACTGCAAACAGATAGACCCCACGCTCAGGGGCTTGGAAATAGCCATCTTCAGGGAAGTAGCTGCTGCCAATGTTGATGTAAGTAGTGTTGAACTTCACTGTCTGCAGAGTGGCCATCCCTTCTGAAAAGCTGGCATAGAAGGCCACAGCAATCCCTGGAACACAGGAGGAAAGAGCTCAGTGACTCACCCCCCTGGATGGGAAATTAAACAGACCTGCCTTCCTCACCTTATTAACATTATAAATAGGCCTCTATTGCTAGATAACCTAGATGTTCCCAATAGCGATTTACCTTGGAGAGTGGGAGCTAACTGGCCAGTTCTTTGTATTTCACTAGTTGAGAGAGAGAGAGAACACGTCTGTTGTCTCTACTGGTGCAGATTCAGAAAACGCACCTTCTGGTTTGATCCTTTTCCTTCCACCACCTTGGAGACATAAGTAGCTCTGACTGAGAGAACTTTGAATCTTGAGTGCTTAAAGGGTCCAAGGCTTGTCGATGGCAGGCTGGGACAGGAATTTAGGTTTCTGACTCCTGTATTACTGCCACCTGCTAGGGATCTTGAGATACCCAAGGGAAGAAGAGAAAATATACCTATCTATCCTCAAGGTAAATGTACTAACACTGGTGAGATAACTAAGGAACAACTACCAGATGTTTGGCACAGGACCTTGTAGAGAGAAGGAATGGGTAGGTGGCACCAGGGGAGAAAAGTCTATTCAATCTGGTCATCTGAATGTTTTCAAAATGTTGCACAGAGTACTGGCTGCTTCATATGACACTAACAGATGATCAAACTGGGAACTATCCTTGGAGCTCCTGATTTCTAGTGCTCTTCCCACTTGGAGAAGCACGTTAGCCCTCCTTAAGGGGTTAAGACAGAGGATACAGGTATGGGGCCAGAGAAAGCCCTTTATGTACATGGTGAAGGTACAGTGCTGAAAGCCAGTTGAGCTGCTTGCCCAGGATGCTTCTGGCCAGGGCCAGGAGATGGGACGGGAGGGTGAGTCCCACTGTGCTTCCCGCCATGACATTGGCCTTAGTACTGATGATATCTTGCTCCTTGGGTATTCCCTCAACACACTTGTGCCCTTCTCTCTCCCTCCCTGCCTCTCTGCCTCCCTCCCTCTCCCCATTTCTCAGGGGTTGAAATCAAGGCCTAAAGGAAAAAACAAATTTGCATAGCTGTTAGTTACTTAGGATATAGAACTAGAGCCTCAGCTCATTGACTTCTGGTCCAGCAGTAGCCCTGTGAATGACAAAACTTTGCTCTTCTATAGTTCTGGAATATTCCTGAGGAAGTTTAGAATAGCTTTCCCCTTTGTGAAAGATTGTGGCACATCAAAGACCCACTACTGGCCCTGCAGTTCTCCCAGCACCCAGGAGGTGGGGCACTTGCCCAGCCTAAGGTCGGCCGAGCGCTCCCTCTGCCGGTGATTTGCCCCTCTGCTTGCGGTCCAGCCAGCCTGCCTGTGGAGCTTCCAAGGGAGCTTCCACCCAGCCAGGGGGCCAGCGTGCCCTCAGAAGGAAGAAGGGTTGTGCTTCCTGATTTCCTAACAGGCAAATTGAGAGTGGGCTTCCCTGCAGGGTACAAATTCAAGTCCTGTGGCCTTCCTGCAAGATAAATAAGGGGTTTTTTTTTGTTTTTTGTTTTTTTTTTAATTAATTTACTTATTTTTTAAATTATTTTTCAACTACAGTATTCTTTCTTTTACTCTAATAAGGGGTTTTTAATTCTAAGGAAAAAAAATTTAAGTATTCCTAAACCAAGGCAATTGAGGCCTTGTACCACTTACAAGTGGAACAGAAATGTAGTATAGAAATGTTAGTGTAGGTGGACATAGATAGCCTCAGCCCTGAAAATGCTGGGAAAACAGGAAAACATTGGCTGGTTTCTACTGAATGTGAAGCCCTGTGCCAGGTAGTTGGTAAATGTAACTGTCTTCATAATAATTCTTTGATACAGGTATGATACTCCCATTAAACAGGAAGAAATTGAGACAGTTGGTTTTAGATCCTGTGCTCTGTCCACTGCCCCCAGGGAGACCCAGGTCTCTGAGGCCATAATGGAGGGTCAGTGGGAGCTGGCTTGGTGTGGGACCTTCAGCAAGGCCTCAGACAGACCTTGCAGGGGACCTAGCACAGGGCAGAAAGATGGGCCAACTGTTGGCAGAATGAGCTCCTTCCATGGTCCAAGGCCTTCTTTTGTGGGGTGTTCCCCATGCAAGTGACACTAGCCCCACTCACACCCTGGTTAAAGACACTTGGTGGGGTGGTGAAGTGGGGTGGGTGAAGAGCTAAATTTGAGGTGTGGCCTGGAAGAAGAGGAGGCACTCCCTTCCCTGCTCTATAGTCAGAGTGGCTGGCAGCCAGACCTGTATATATGAGCCTTAAATGTTTACACGGAGGGGCTCTCTGCCTTCTCACCAAAGGCTGGTTCTTATAACTTCTACCTTATACTCCACTGGGCTTAAAATGCACCTGCACCCCCACCCCCATTCACTACCACCCCCTCCCAACCTGCATAGAAGATGGGTTAAGAACAAGAAGGCCCTGAGTAGTCATGACTACCAACCCGTTCTGTCACTCCCACCCCTTCTGAGTCAAGAAGAGCTGCTTGCAGACAGCCTATTCAGCCTGTTCTCCAAGACTAGCCAAGTCTCCCTGTGCCCAGGAGCTCACCTGCCTTATGGAGGTCTGCTCCCAGGGCATCCACCAAATGTTCTACTTTCTTATTCCTCTTCTGTGAAGCTTCCAGACCTTTTTGCTGCTTCTTCCCTTTCCTGCCCAGTATGGCCTGCAATTTCCCCAGGTCTAGGCTGACATTGGCTGCCACAAGCCCTTGGAAGTTCCCAAAGAGGCTGTGGAAAAGCTGCTGATGGTGCTCCATGCCTCGCTGGGTGGTGGAGAGCGCTCTGTGGAGGCTCTCCAGGGACCTGTGGACGGAGGCGGCCCAGGAGGCCTCGCAGCACTGCCCCAGGCGCTGGAGTTCTGGTGCCAGCCCCGTGGGGTTGGTCGCACTGGCCTCCTCTGGCGCTGCCTCGTGGCTGGGCTTCAGGAGCTCTGGACCCTGCCTGCCACCCACTGCCATCTGTTCCAGGGCCGACACCCTGGCAGCCAGCGCAGCCCAACCAAGCGCCTGCTCACGCAGCCCGCTGGCCGCATCGTGCAGGCCAGCGCGGATCTCCTCATAACGCAGGGGCAGAGGGCCGGGCGCCTCCTCAGACATTGTCATCTCTTCACCGAAGAGCGCGGTCAGCACGGCCTCATGCCTGAGCGCATCCTCCATCAGGGCCGCAAAAGAGCTGTGCAGCTGGCGGACCTCAAGCCAGAGCTCGCCCTCAGCAGCCTTCAGCGTGCCCACCTCGCTGCTCAGCGCCTGAAGCTGGGTCCGGAGCCGCGCTCGCTCGGCAGGAGCCCGCTCCTCCTCTGCCTGGAGTTTAGCCACTGCCTGTGAAATGGTGGCCACCGTGTGGCTTAGGGCCTGCAGGGAGGAGTTGTCCTGCGGGAGCTTCTGGTCTAGGCTCACCTGGGTGTCCTGCAGGGTGTACATAGTGTTCCTGTGGCCATCCTGGACAGTGTCCAGGCCAGAAGAGAGCTTCTGGCAGTTGCACTTGTTGATGTACTTGGTAAGGTCAGCGTGGCCACCCTGCAGGTGCTGGAGGGTGAGATTGAGCTCCAGTAGCTGTCGGTCTGTCTCCACCTTGTTCTCCTCCATGATAAGCGACTTCTCTATCAGCATCACCCGCAGCTCACGCAGGGCCTGGTAGTTCACCTGCAGCTTCTCCATCTGCTGTTCCACCTTGCTGATCTGATCGAAGGTCTCATCAGATTCGGAATACAGCTCCCTGATCTCTTCCACGTGCCGGGCGAGGGTTGCCTTCATGTCCGCCAGGATGCTTTGTAACTCCTCTTCCCTGTGGCTGGTGGCCAAGTGCAGTGCTGAGAGGTTCCTCTGTAGCTGGCCCAATCTGGCCTGCAGGCTCTCTGGCTCCGGCCTTGCCCCAGCCCCTGTTGCTGCTGCCACCAAGCTGCCATTGGACCACAGGTGCTCCTGGGCCTTAAGGAGCCTCTTCAACTTGGTGTCCACATTGGCCTGAACCTCAGAAAGGGAGTGATACAGGGAAAAGTTCTGGGCATTCAGGCGGTCCTCCATGGCTTGCTGCAGCTGGCCTACTCTCTGGGCATTCTCCTGGACCTTGGTCTCAAATTTGGCACCAAGCTCCTGGAAGTCAGCCCTGGGCACAGTGCTGTCTTGGACCATCTTGATGGCCTGTTGGTTGGCCTCCACATCAAGAGATAGGTTTCTTATGGCCTCAAAGAGGCTGTGCAGGCTTTGGTTAAAGCTACTCCAAATGGGGCCAAAATTCAGCACTTGCTCCAAGGATCTGCCAGTAAACTCTGCAACAAATGCACATTTTAACACAAGTCCTGCTGGAGCAGATAACCACCCAGGTTGGGGCTATAGAGGGGGAGAGCCTCAGGTTTGGGCCTTCCTGCTTCCCCTCCCACTCATGCCGTTGGATGTAATCATGTTCTTCCTCAGCCCCTACAGTCTGCCACTTACCAAGATCTGCCTGATGTGCCTTGGTCATTTCAGCTGTGAGATTGCTTATATGATGAATGTCATTCTGGAGATCTCTCAGCAGGTGTTCCTGCGGCACCACGATGTTGCCGGTCTCTGCAGCCAGGTGGTCTGAAGACACGTGAAGGGTAAGTACGAAGGGTCATCGCCCCTCACCAGGGCAAATAATAGGGCACAGAGAAGATTTTGGGATTGAGAGCAGAGGTGTGTGCTGATGTCCTTTGAGCAGCAGCTTAGAGAAGCCTTTAGCCCCAGAAGGGCAAATAGATGGTAAGTGAGCCCTCACCTTGCCGCCCACACCCGCAGCAGACATGATTAATTGCACATTTTCACTTTCAGCCACATGTATATGGCCCTTTATTCTAGACAGCCCTTGTCAATAGATAGGCGTTCAACACATGGTGAAACTCATTCACCATCCAACCTTGGTCCAGCCTTGAAAGGCCCAATAAAAGTGTTTTTTTGGTGGTTCTCCTATGCTATCTCAAGACTAGGAACAGCATGACTTCTTGTTCCTGGTTGAGGTACCAGGTGTTGGTAGGTTTATTCTAGGCCATGGGAACTTGTACTGTTCAGGGGATAAAGGAGGTGCCAGGTGAAGCTGTCCTTCCTAAAAAATGGGGTCAAGGAAAAGAGTGTATGTTCTTTGCCAGCAGGCAGGGCACTGAGGGCTCTGTGAACCTGGTGTCCCCGTTGTGGGGTAGGGTGATGCAGGGCCACAGAGGGGTTTCTACTGATTTGGGGGGGGGGGGCAAAAATGTTCCTGAAATGGCACTCCCTTATCAGAGGAGAGAGTGCCTGGACACATGGATTTTTTTTTCTGCCTGCCTGCCCCTCCTGCACCTTCCAGGATAGCAGCATACCAGGTTCAAAGCCAACTGGTCCATCCCATTGCTCCTGGAGGCCATCACCTGGATCTGCAGGCTCAGGAATTGCAGCAGGATCTGCAGAGAGGAGGCATCAGATTCTGACCCCAAGAGATTAAAGGAGCTGCATGACCTCTGGAGTCAGAGGTTGAGGTAGTAGGGGATCACAGGGAGCCCTACCATGGTGCTGGCAGTCAGAGCCAGCAAAGCCTGGGCAGCACTTCCAGGCCACAGAGGCCAGCACCTTCTGCTTGACCTGGTACACCGGCTTGTGGGCCACACGGTACCTGGAGGAAAAGAACCAGCTCAGCAACTCCAGGGTGAGCCAGTGCAGGAACTGTACCAGTGGCCTACCCCAGCCTGCCCCCACTCACATGACTTTCTGGCAGTCCAAAGCTCCCTGTGGACATGGCTGCTGTGAGTGAATGAGGAATTTCTCCGTTTTGCAAGCAGCTATGAAGGTGACCAGCCTGGACTTCTGGTAGGGGCACCAGTTGCTAGAAAAATCAAACCAGAGGAGAGGGTGCTGAATCACGCCCAGGCACCCAACAACCCTTCCTGGAGGTCAATAGGAAGTACCAGTGCAGAGTACCCTACCCCACCTCTCTGCTCTACCCAATGCCAGGGATTCTAAAATCCTTTAGCCTGAGAAGGGAGTGCTTGGCATTACTCATCCCTCAGCTCCAGAGCAAGAGTTCCACAAACCCTGCAAGGGCACCTGTTTCACCACCTTGCAGGGATCTTCCCTGGGACCAGCACAGAGAGGCTGAAAACCCCCCCAAAGTCATACAGCACAATTACCCAAAGCACCAGGAAGAACTGTTTTCCTGGTGCCAGGGAGACAGCATGGTGCCACTGGGCCTGAAGAGTCCTGGATTTGAACTTCACACATTCTGACTGTGAGACTTTGAACAAGGCATTTAGGGAGTTTCCATTCTCCATCTATCTTATGGAGACTGAAATACCCTTCTCTAAGTGAGCAGATGAGTATCCAGTACGTGGCTCCTGACAAGTGCTCAATGAACACTGCAGCACTGCCTGGGAGCCTCCCCTATTACCACTTACATCTTTCCTCACCAGAGACTTGGCCACAGAAAGGGCATTTGCTCCCCAGTCATCCCCCATTATGGCCATTATGAAATAGACTTGCAAACAGTTATAGAGGAAGGCAGCTGAGCCAAGTACTCCCTCTTCTGGGAAAGGCTACCCACACTGAAGTCGTACAGGATGGGGTTGGGGTGTGCTCAGCATCCTGAATAGCAGAAGGTAGCCTCCTTCTGTGCCTTTCAGGTCCAAGAGTGGGGAGATGACCACTGCTGATAGAGCCCAAGTTAACTGACCTGGTGACAAACTTGATGAGCTCAATAGAGGTCCTTCCTCCATAGTCAGCTCCCAGAGGAGAGCACTCCAAAGTTACAGGTGACAACCTCCATGGCTCCATTCAGCTCAGCACCTCTTGGGTACTGGGTGCCGGGCTCAAGCTCAGGAGCATTCAGTGCTGATGGAAGTACAGACCTTCCCTTCAAGGTCCCAAGAGAGAACACGTAATCTCAGATCATGTGACAGGTGCTATAACATGGGGAGGCTTTCAGGAGGTGATAATTGGGCTGTATCTTTCACAGAGAAGTGAGGTGAAGCACCAGGAACTGTGACAGAAATAGGTGGCTCCACAGAGATATAGAGGGTTGGGGTGGGAAAGGGACCACTTAGGAGAGGGTGCCGAGGTAACAGCTAGACTGTGGGGGCCTGGAGTGCCAGCTAAGGTGCAGAGCTATGTCTGGAAGGCATGAGAAATCATGGAGGAGTTTAAGCAGAAACGACATGAAAGAGCTACCCTTGCTCCTTCATGGGTGCAGAAGGAACAGAGGAGGCAGGATGTAAGTAGTTTGTAAGGATTCTAAGTCAGAGATGGTGTCAGCTTACACTGGATGGTGGTGGTAAATACAGAGAGAAATGGCCACATTTGTAAGATATTAGGAAGCAATGTTTAGGGACCTTGGAGATGGAGTGGCTATTAGGGCTGGGCCTTATTCTCTGGAGCTGATGTCTGTCCTGAGGTCATTCAGCATTATCACACAGGGATGCTGCCAGGGAGGGAGGTGAAGGATTAAGGTGGATTGAGTGTCCATGTCTATTTTCGGTGCAGAGACACCTCCCCACTCTCCCCCCATCCCCCGAAGCCTACTTTCTCACTCAGCTGCAGAAGCCTGGCAGCCAGCCTTTACTCTCCTTATGCAGCAAGGAAATGACCCTGCTCAAGAGTAAAGACCCATCCAGAGCAACCTGTAAAAAAACATCAAGATGGAGGCGTAGGTGGAAACACTGTGCCTCCTCGCACAACCAAGTTTAAAGACAACAAAGTTTTAGTAACAAAAAAGGCAACTAAAACACAGAAAAGTGAACCGTACAAAAGTCCTACAACAACAAACCATTCAGCCAGACCGGTAAGGGGCAGAGCCAGTGGCTGGCAGAGCGGGGTCACACAGGAACAGGTGGCCAGGCTGACCCAGGCACACAGGCGGTGGTTGGCGGATCCCAGGTGTGAGGTGGCAACAGGCGGACCCAGTGAGGATGCAAGGCGGCTGGCTGACCATGGTCACACATTCACACTCAAATAAACCAACCAAAGGAGCTAGCAGTGAGACAGACTGTGCAGGCTAGGACCCCAGCGATGGGAATTAAAGCCTAAAAGCATCAACTGGAAAATTTTGGGGGGGTTGAGGTGCCAAGAGAAGCTCCCAGGCTCACAGAGAGTTTGTTGGAGAGACCCACAGGGTCCTGGAGAATGCACAGGTCCACACACCCGGGAGCCAGCACCAGGGGGACCCTGTTTGCTTGTGGGTAGCAGCAGAAGGGACCGAAATCCAAGAGAGAGCAGAAAAAAACACCATTGCCCCTCTCTGACCCCGCCCCCACATACAGTGTCACAACTCTACAACTGGGTTGCCCCACCCTGGTGAACACTTAAGGCTCCACCCCTAATACGTAACAGGTGTGAACAGACCAAAACATTGTGGCTCAAGAAGAACAGCTCAAAGCCCCAGAGCCAATACTTCAAAGTAACTAAGAGATAGCCAACCTGTCAGATGCACAGTTCAAAACAATGGTGATCAGGATCCTCACAGAACTGGTTGATTTTAGTCGCAACTTAGATGAAAAAAATGAAGGCTAAACTAATTGAAATAAAGGGAAATACACCAGAAACCAATAGTAATGGAAAGAAACTGGGACTCAAATCAATGGAGTGGACCAGAAGAAAGAAAGAAACATTCAACCAGAACAGAATGAAGAAACAAGAATTTAAAAAAATGAGGAGAGGCTTAGGAACCTCCAGGACATCTTTAAACGTTCCAACATCAGAATTATAGGGGTACCAGAAGGGGAAGAGGAACAGTCACGAGTGGAAAACTTATCTGAACAAATAATAAAGGAGAACTTCCCCAATCTGGCAAAGGAAATAGACTTCCAGGAAATCCAGGAAGCTCAGAGAGCCCCAAAGAAGTTGGACCCAAGAAGGAACACACCAAGGCACATCATAATTACATTAGCCAAAATTAAAATAAAGGAGAGAATCCTAGAAGCAGCAAGAGCTAAGGGGACAGTCACCTACAGAGGAGTCCCCATCAGACTGTCAGCGGATTTCTCAAAAGAGACCTTACAGGCAAGAAGGGGCTGGAAAGAGGTATTCCAAGTCATGAAAGGCAAGGACCTACATCCAAGATCGCTCTATCCAGCAAAGCTTTCATTTAGAATGGAAGGGCAGATAAAGTGCTTCTCAGATAAGATCAAATTCAAGGAGTTCATCATCACCAAGCCCTTATTATATGAAATGTTAAAGGGACTTATCTAGGAAGAAGAAGGTAAAAAATATGAACAGTGAAAGGACAGCAAACTCACAGTTATTAACAACCACACCTAAAACAAAAGCAAACTAAGAGGACAGCTAGGTCAGGAGCAGCAACATAGAAATGAAGATCTCAAGGAGGGTTAGCAACGGGAGTGGGAGGAGGAGAGAGGGGGAGGAAGGTACAGAGAATAAGTAGCATAGATGGTAGGCAGAAAATAGGGGGAGGGCAAGAATAGTGTGGGAAATATAGAATCTAAAGAACTTGTGACATATGGACATAAACTAAAGGGGGGAATGGTGGGGGAGGGGTGTGCAGGGTGGAGGGGAATGAAGGGGGGAATAGAACTGTAATGGCATAATCAATAAAATATATTAAAAAGGAAAAAAAACAGATCAGAAAGCCCCATCTGTACACCCAGCTTCCAATCAGATGCCCAGTCTCTGTACTTCTAAGTGGGCAGACATCAAAGGCTGACCCTTGAGAATAATCTCTTTTACAAAAGAGGGAGGTCAAAATGAGCAAAAGAAAAAGAATCAACTTGGAGCCCTGGCTGGTGTGACTCAGTGGATTGGGTGCTGGCCTGCAAATCAAGGGGTTGCTGGTTCAATTCCCAGTTGGGGCACATGCCTGGGTTGCGAGCATGCAGGAGGCAGCCACACATCAATGTTTTTCTCCCTCTCTTTCTCCCTCCCATTCCCTCTCTCTAAAAATAAATAAATCTTTTTTAAAAAATCAACTTGGAGAAATTCAAGACTCTGCAAAGAGAAGACAATTACCCAATATTTGCATTAATATTGCTAGATTGATAATACTGCTTACTGAATCCAATAAACAAGAAAGGGAAGCTATTAAAATTGGGGAAAACAAAAAAAACCTTAGGATTTAAAAAGATAACAGTAGAAATGCAAAAGAAATGTAACAAAAATGTTAGAGAGTAAGTTTAAACAAATTTCCCTAAAAGAAGAGCAAAGAGAGAGATAGAAAGTAAAAGAAAAAGATTTTTTAAAAACTCTGAAGTACCAACATTGGAAATCCAACATCCAAACAATAGGAGTTCCAGGAAGAGAGAACAAAGAGAGCAGAAGGAGGAAATCATCTATTAAAAATATATACAGGTATACCTGTATAGGGACTTAGGGCAAGATGGCAGTGTATTATCCAAGGAGGACATACAGAATATCCAGAGACACATGAAGAGATGCTCGATATTGTTAGCTATCAGAGAGATGCAAATCAAAACCACAATGAGATACCACTTTACACCAGTCAGGATGGCTATCATAAACAAAGCAACAAACAACAAATGTTGGAGAGGTTGTGGGAAAAAGGGGTCCTTAGTTCACTGTTGGTGGGATTGCAGACTGGTACAACCATTATGGAAAATAGTATGGAATTTTCTCAGAAAAATAAAAATCGACCTGTCTTTTGACCCAGCAATTCCACTGCTAGGATTATATCCCAAGAATCCTAAAACATCAATTTCAAAGAACCTATGCACTGCAATGTTCATAGCAGCACAATTTACAATAGCCAAGAGTTGGAAGCAACCTAGGTGCCCATCAGTAAATGAATGGATCCAAAAATTGTGGTACATATACACAATGGAATTCTATGCAGCAGAGAGAAAGAAGGAGCTACTACCCTTTGCA